ATGCCAAAGTCTTGCGACTGAGTCTTTGTTCGCACTTTGAGCCACACATGCGTAGTGCTTTCGCCACTCCTGCGCCACCTGAGTTACTCGGGTTCTTTTCCGGGCCTACATGCATCCATGCAATCCAGGACCGGCAAATGCCTCGCATCAGCCGTTGAGATTGGTGACGAGGGCTCTGCGTATTTCATGGGCGACGATGGCAGGGCTGCGGGGCTGCAGGCGGCCACTCGGTTTGTGAAGGGCTTCCTCTGGCTTGCCGCCGACAACTTGCAGCGCAATGTTAAGAGATACAAAGTTCGCCCCAAGTGCCCTGGCTGGTGCAGATTAAGTTGCGCTGTGTATTGCAGATCGGTCTGCATTATTGTTGTTTGGTAGTACGTGGGGACTAAGGATACATACATTTATCCATATGTGGCAATCTGGCCTGGCAAACCCGTTCAAGCTGGGATCGTGCGTCAACGATGAAGATTTCATCCGCCGGCTGTGCAATATAGCTGCTTGTCTTGTTTAACTTGGAGTTGAGCAGTGGGTTGGCATCTTCCCCTGGCCAGGCTTCGGGCACACACGCGAGTGGGACTGGTGACAGGGCCATCCGGCGGTACCTTGCGACGGTGTCGCTTGAGTGGAAAAGCGCGCGGCGGATTCCTCTTCAACGAGGTAAACCTGTAAACCTCGTGTCACATATATGTGTGAACTCTCAGAGGCCGATGTGCCAAGAAAAACATTAATTGATATGTGAATTGACGATTTTGACACCCGCGTGTGTCAAATCGTCAATTGCAAGTTAAAAAAGAAATTCACTATGTTTAGCTTATGACTTGTGAAGTTAGCGCATGTTACAAGCAAAAAGCAGAAGTTGAATGATTCAAGTTTTTTTGAAAAAAACATGCTCATACAACTTTTCGAGCAAAAGGCCGGAAAAAAACATGACTTTTGCATGTCCAGGAAGTGCTTAATCCCACTAGACGGAAGCCATTCAGCCCCAAAAAAGCACAGTTTTGACAAAGCCGGAGACAGCTGGGAGGGCTTAATGCCAAAGGCATAAGCGACTCAGCCCAAAAAGTTCAAGTGGAAAATGCATTTTTCTCCGGCGCTTTTTCCCGGCCAAACCAAAGGATGCTTTTTGTTACGAACAGAGGGGGGGCTGGCGAGCGCATCAAATGGCTGCTTTTTTTTGTCAGCCAGCGAGGACTTCTTCATCTACTGCGAATTTGCCCACCAAACCATCTTTGGCCGTTCAAAACTTTGTAGCTCTTTTGAGCAAAGCTTCTCATATGTTGCCAGGCATCAGCATTTTGGCCCAGAGGCGCCACAGGTCCTGGCTAGTGTTGGCGACATGAAGCCAGCATGGAAATGAACCCTGGGCACCTGGCAAACTACACAAAATGACTTCTTGACTTGGCTCGCCACCCAGAGACAATCTTGTTCAAAGTTGGCTGCGTGCTGGAGGGCCGCGCCCGTCCCGAGAACGTCCCCGTCGGTCGGTCCATCGACGCAACAGACGTAAATTTCACCCATCTTGGAGTCCAGTCTGCACTTTATAAGTATCACGAAAGTTCCTGCTAAACTTGCCTTGGCAACCGTGTATTCCCGAGTAATCCTCAAAATAACCGCAGGTTTGCAAATGGCAGGAAATGAACTGGCGCCAGGACTTCAAGAAGATCAGGGTTCACCAAGAAAGGGAGGAAGAGGATGCGCCGCTGAGTCTAGGCTTCGTGACGGGGCATCGACGCAGTCTTCACTTTGCCTTCCGCTACTTCTTTGAGAAGAATTTGCAAGACCCTGAGTGGTTGCGCTGCGTGGGGAAGAGCCTGTGACTTCCTGTGCGTTTCTGTGTTCTCCAGCTTCTTCAAATACCTGACCGGCCATAACCAACTGCGCGTCACTTGCTAGCCACACTAGGCATCCCCGGAAAGGTGGTGTGGTGGACATCCGCCAAGCCTGCGTGCCGCAACAAGGGCCTTAGCACAAGCTTCAGCTACATCACAGCGGCCCTCCTAATCGGATGAAGAAGCTGCCTCCCAAATCCTTGCCGGCAGGTTGCGCGTGGGGTTGCGACACGAGTGTCGGGTGTGCTCGCGGCGATCTGCAGCAACAGGTCCAAGTAGGTCGCCCTGCGACGCTCCATCTGGGGTAGCTCAAACCGTTCCAAACACCCTCAATGCAAACGGAAGGGCCTGGTTTCTGCCGTTGTCAAACACAGGAATTCAAAGAGATGGTGAGAAGCTCTGTGAGCGCACCTTGGCCGAGAGAGTTAGTGGCCCCACATTGAACACGTTGAAGCTGATCTCCAAGTTCAAGGCAAGGGAGGGCCTGGGCAGGCTCCAGTTGGCTCCAGTCATCTGTCACCACTTGTCAGTCGCAGGCGGTCACGTGAAATTTTTCCAAAACACGGGGTCCGTGAGAAGTTTTTGTTGGAACGAGATGCAAGCTCCCTTCACTTGAGTGTATTTGAGCCAGGACTCATGCCTGCCGATCTCATTCTTCAACACCGCTCGGTACTTGCTGCCCTTCGCGCACCGAAGGTCAACTGGAGAAAGCTTTTCGAACAGTGATGAGCAGCTGGCCTTTGTTTTACCCGCTTCTAGGCATTGCACAGTCATAGGGTCGGGCATATGTGGGCATGTGCCGTCGGCATGCGCCGTCGGCTTTCCAGGCGTTGTCGGGCAGCCCAAAGCCAAAAGTAAAACGGTCTTTGAGTGACAGTCGGTGACAGTAGCCCCAAAACGTCCCCAACAGCTTTCATGTCAAGGCGTCTCGAGTTAGCTCATCCGAAAGGGATCCTTGCTTCGGCTCTGGGAAAAGCCAAGCACAGCCCCTCCAACAAAAAAGGCGCGCCGCTTGAACCCAGACATGTATATGCGTGTAAATTTGTAAATGACATCTGCTGTGTCTGTCCAAGCAGACATTTCAGTCGTAGCAAGTCAGAACTGCCATCTCAGACAAGAAGAACGTCAGTTTTTCCTCAAGCCCAAAGCCGATTGTTTGTCACTAAGCTGTCCGGTTTCGATCGGCTCGAACACGCAGAGGACGCTCGCAAAATTAGAGAGCGCTCACAGAACGTCTTACGTGTACAGATATCCAATATTCTTCCACTGTTTTTTTTTTGTGTTCCCGCTTGCGCCTTATATATCTGGAGATTTGGGCAGTTCTGGACAGCTCAGTCACTGTCAGCCACCATTGTTGGCTTCCATAGCAGCCTTTGTGCTTCGTCCCTTTTGAGGTGATCAACGATGTGGCCTTGGCAACTTTTCAAATCAGTGTGTCCACCAGTTCTTGCCTGTTCTGCGCTGCTCCGTGCTAAGTATAAGCTTGTAGGTTCTCATCGCTGGTCGAAGCTCGATGTCGTACAGGGTCTCGTTACTAGCAGCACGAAAATCTTGAATCTCAAACTGCTCGAGCGAGAACATCGGCCGTTGCAAGGCTTTGCCAAAACTCTTGTTTTTGTCGGCTGCGTTCGCCCAGCAACTGAAGACTCTATGATAAATAGCCAAAGAAACATGAGAAGGATTGGATGATGGCGAAGCTGGATTTCGCATCTCCACTCTGGAGAGCAAACGTTCAGCTCGTTCACCCAGATGACCGGGAGCTATTATTGAGAGTGATTGAAACATGGATGTGAAGTCGAATGGTTCGGCCAACAGCAAGTTCTAACCGTAACCCTAAACCCACCATAATCGAGGAGAGAAAGCGCGTAGTTCCAGTCTTGCCTTATGGAGCCAGAACATGGCCTCGAGGAGCTAAATTGTCGATAATCTGCTACACTTACCCAGTCCTTGATTGGAGCCAAATGTTGAACTCCCAATTAGCCCCAGTTGCTCAAGGTCCTCCAAACCACCAAAAACAACCCCAAAAATGTAACTGGTTACATTTAGGACCCCCCCCCCCCCTGATTACATTGCTATAAGGACTCCCTCGCGTGTCTGACTCCCCCTTTACATGGGAATGGCACCTACTTTCACGTCAGCAAGTTTGTTGGTGAATTGCCCGCTCACTGACGTTCCTGCTCCAATTGTTTCACAACCGGATCCCAATGCCGCAGTTAGCCTTTTCCGGCGTGAGAGTCTCAAACCGAGGCGTCACCCGGCCTCACGAGCCACGGAGATCTGGGCTCTTCCACGGTCCATTCAAGTAGGTTCAAGACGCACCGCCTGCTCCAAGACAAGACAGCTAAGGGCTCTAGGGCTTGCTATGTCAAGAACCAATCCACACACCGCTTTCTGACGCGGACACCCCTGCCCACGCGGTGGAGAGACCCGAGATATGTCAAACCAGGTAGAAGCTTCTCACATGGCTGCTCCATATAGACTAGATCCTCCAGTAGAGAGCTTGGAGATTATGGGTACCCGATTTGTTTTTTATGTTTATTTTATTCATTTATTTTCGGGTACGTAGTCTCTTTTGGAAGGGGAGCCCTCCCCCAAAAGGGCACTACTGGGGGACCTAGTAGGGGTCCCCTATGGCTGGATTCCATTTGGCGCTGAACATACCACCCACGAAGGACTCCATTTGGGAACGCAAGGAATGGCATTACCCAAGCCCCAGATCATGGTCCTTGGATGGTTTTGGGGGTTTCATCGACCGGAGAGACTTCGACCGTGACGTAAGCCAAGAATCTCTGGAAAGTACGGAGCGGAGCGAAGAGAGACTCACAAGCGGGAAGATCGAGAAATTGGATGAGTTGCGGCTTTCCTGTTCCCTGACCGGTGAGGGATCTCATCCTGTTCCCACGTGAGGGATGAGCACGAGATACTTCAGAAGGAATAAACATTGTGGAGGGAATGAAGGAAAGTTGTGAAAGGAAAGAAAATCGGAATGGAGGAATAAAGATCGTGAGGGGAATGCAGGAAAGTGGTGAAAGGAAAGAAAATCCAATTCCAACGATAATGCAGTATTCCGATGAGAATGCCACTTCCAATCCCATCACGAGACAATCGGTAGTTGGAGCGGTGAATGTTTCGGAAAGTCACGCTCCAATTCCCATCTGAAGCTTCTCTGGCCTCCATGAAGATGTACGGAGTGCAGCGTCACCAGCGCGCCCTTGGCCTCGGTTTTCTTTTCTTCGCTGGAAAACGGGTTCCCTTCACACATTGGCATGACCCTTCTAAACCCCCCAATTGGTGGTTTTGGGGACCAAAAAGCCTGGGTTCACTCCATTTCTCATTCCCTACTGTGGATGGACGAAATCCGTTCGCACCACCTAAGAAACCCTGGTTTCTGATAATTCCCCTGCAAATACCAACCAACGTTATGGTTTCAACTTTCATTCGTGCCCAAAGAGGATTCGATTTCAACCATCCACAGTAGGGTGTCACAAGCCAGGAACTTGGCCTAGTGCGAAGGGAGGCCCTTCATATTTCCCCGGCCAACCACCTGGGTCCGTGTCCACAGTCTCGCACCAAGAACAAACCTCCTGGGTTTTGAATTTTGGGGACCAAAAAGCCTGGCTTCATTCCAGTTCTCATTCCCTCGCACCCAGAAAACCTCCTGGCCTGGCAAATGCCACAGAAAAACCACCCGCCCACCCGCCCACCCACCCGCCCACCCGCGTCGGGCGGCGTAATAGTCGTTCGTGGCGAGGCTCACAAAGGCCGCCGAGGCCGCGGCACCTGCGCCGCTCGTCCGTCCGGCCGTCCCCCGCCGTCCGTACGTCCCGTCCCCCAGCGGGTTTGCTTAGGCTTGGCCAAGGGCGCCGTTGTGCGCAATCCCTTGAGAGAGAGAAAGAAAGAAAAGAGAAAGAGAGAGAGAGAGAGGAAAAAGAGGGGAGAAAGAGGGAGAGGAAAAAGAGGGAGAAAAAAGAGAGAGAGAGAGAGACAAGAAAGGGTGAGAGGAAAAAGGGAGAGAGGAACAAAGGGAGCGAGGAACAAAAAGAAAAAGAGGTAGAGGAAAAAGAGGGAGAGGAAAAAGAGGGAGAGGAAAAAGAGGTAGAGGAAAAAGAGGTAGAGGAAAACGAGGGAGAGGCAAAAGAGGTAGAGGCAAAAGAGGGAGAGGAAAAAGAGGGAGAGAAAAAAGAGGGAGAGAAAAAAGAGGGAGAGGGAAAAAAGAGAGGGCGGGAGAGAAAAACAAAAAACAAATGAACAAACGCATGGGAGTGCACAAGTGTGCACATGGTGTTCATTGTAGTGTCCCCTGCCATTGATCGGCCCATCCACAGTTGCTGCAAGGCATGAACGGAGGCATGAAACTGACTGCTTCAAAAGTCTGTCGGCTGCGCACGTCCCAAGACACATACGGCCTCGAAGGAAAAACGGGAGCGCTAGGAATGGCACAGGCCGCATCCGTTTTCAGTCGGCTAGCACTCAATACACTTGCCATGGATGCAATATCAAATCTGCCAACCAACGGAGGCACCTGGTAGATCTGTTTTGCTCTCGAAAACCCCAGGTGAGTAAAGGTTAGTGGGGGTATCAAAGAGGCGTTGGTCCGAAAAAGCCGAAAAGTACACGAAAACTTTCTGATTTCAGCCTGAGACTTCAGCGGACAAACAAATCGAGCCGCAACTTGTGCGAATGATGGGCGACCTCGCAAACGCAAATAGGTGAACTGGTGCTTATCAAGGTTGACAAGATGTTGATTTGAAAAACCTTGGGTGTTCTCTGGCTAAAACCATCAGCTCCTATCAAAAAAGCGTTCGTTTCTTTGGTAAACACGCGATTAGCTGTGGACGTCCGACACTGAGGGCCAAAAGGGCGAGCAGGAAGCAACGTGGACAACATAAATAAGAAACGGCCCGGGGTACTCTGATGAGCATGGAATCCAAAAATCACATGTCGCGTTGGTTTCAAAGGCAATCAGCAGGGAAGTGTGTCCCAAACCGTTTGAGCTTGCCTAGGTCCTCCAGTGGAGAGGTTGGAATAAGGGTACCCTATTTTTTCTGTAGTCTATTCTGTTGTCTACTTTACTAGGGGAACCCTCCCCAAAAAAGGGTAAAAGGGCACTATTCGCCGGGGGGTCCCGTCCAAGAAAGCGAAGACGTGAACGCTGGCAGAGCTCTTGTCAAGGGGCGGCCAAAGGAGGTGCCCTTCGCAATCTTTGATTAGGGATTCTTTGGTGGACATCAAAATTCAGGGATGTATGTCCACCAACCACTTTTGAGGGGGTAACCATGAAAAAATCATAACCAAACGAGCCGTCTTCACCCTGACCCGACTTCGCTAGGGCCGTTTAGCACATGCGTTCCAAGCACTGGCGCGCTGTCACAAGACAGGCCGGAGTGCGGGGCTCCTGGGGTCTTACACGACGGCATCATGTGAAGCCCACTCTACCCCCAGTGTACATCCGATTCAATCCAACCACTAAAGAGGAACTCTAAAATGGGTGGTGAATTCACCTACCCCAAATGGGATCCCATTGGTTTTGACCCATGTAGCATTGGCATTGGCCTGGCAAGCAAACCACCAGCAAGAGGTTGGCTTTGGAGGCGTCCTGTGAAAAGGAAAACGAGAAATCACCAACCCTGCCAGACCCCGATGCACGCTCCCAGTCGCGCTGTCAGGAGCCCAAAGCGCGCCCTCCACAGAACCCTCACAGAGGCAACCTGTCCAGGCCTTCCCTTTCAGTTCCGTCTGCGGAGATGGTCAAGCTCGCTCCGACTTGGAAAGAAGACCTCGGAAAACCATCGACAAGTGTAAAGAGTTGAAGTACGGGACGTAAATGATAGAGCCTCCTTTGGTCTGAGCACTTCTGCGGGCAAAGCGAGCTTTGCGTGAGTGTAGCAATTGCCGAATTGTGTTGGCTGCGGTTGGGCAGAAACTGACAAGCAACGGCCGAATCGTTTGTTGCGAGTTGCAAGTAGAGGACTTGAATGAGAGAGACTTAACTGGGCTGCCCTCAGATCCCGCCTTACCAGGGCTCCATTTTGGGTACCGGATTTTTGAGCCACAGCCACATGTGCCTTTTGCAGCGTCCTCACCGATCGGGCGCATCCTGCGATCGAACCGGGCTGAGACGACTATGGCCGAGACGTCTATCCCTTGGTACCTTCCAGGGGACTCAAAATAGGGAACCTTGTTTGGAGCCGGACTGGGCCCTGATTTTGACAAACACTCACAAAAGGGGTCTCCAAATTGACCCAACATGGTGAGCTTCCCCAGAAGCACCCGTGTGAGTCAAGGTTCTACAACTCGGGCGTGTTGGGGGAAAACACCCAACACAGTCAACTCATCACCACAAATTAAATATCCCTGGCCGATGCCATTTCAGCCACTTAGTGATACTTACTACCCTGACAGCCTCCTAAAAGTCCAAAACATCACCGTGTAAAAATGGGGGAGACCCTACAAGATGCTGGCGTTCCTCTTGTTTTCCCTTTAAACAAACCTGAAAAGGGTACCAACTGCAAAAAACCAAATCCAAGCAACCCTTGGGGTTCTTTTAGGCTGGTTTACAGCTTAAAGGGAGACCTTTTAAGGAAGCACATTGGTTGTTTGGGTCCCGTTGACACATACCTGCCTGAGAGACTGTTCCTGAGCTCCCAGTCGGAGTGGACCATGAAAATGGGTGCTGGTTTCCGATGCTACCTCTTGGCCCAGCGGTTTATTGCCTGGTCCAGAACTACTCTCTAAATGGGTGGTTCAATCGAAAAATCCTCTTTCGAGAATCCCAGAAGTGGCGACCTCTGGTTTTTGCTTGAGATTCTGGCTGCTGGCGCTAAACAAAAAGCTTTGCTTGATTCGATACCCAAAGGTCCTTCATGGACGCTGGAATGTGAGAGCAAACAAGCAGAGATTTACCAAGACGATTCTGACTGGCATACGCTTTGCTCACACAATCCGGGAAACCCGACTGCAAGCAGCGACTAGCGCCTCTGAGCTTGCCGGAAACCCGAATCATTTGGCCCTCCAAATTTCTGGCCATGGTGTTGGCTGTTGAACACAGGATGGCAGGATAGATGGATAGCAAAAACTCTCTGTCTAGATGCGGGTCTTCTAGCAGATTGCCACCTGCGGCATGGCAGAGATGAAAAAGTCGGCATGGTCAGGGATGAACCCGACGGTATTGCGTCTGGCGGTAGCCACTCTTCAACAATCTTCTCAAATTGCTGGTGCTGGAAAGTGGGAAAAAGCGATTGGCAATGACATTTTCCGACAATGCGCAGTGGCTACCATGACGCACAAGTTGCATCTAGCTGGCGTGGGCTCACTCCTTGCTGTACTGGCGATTGTATGCATAATATGGATCGGATTCTTCTGTTGTGGTTGTGGGTTCTTCCGTAGGGCCTGCGTAGTCGTAGCCATGATGGCGACGGTTGTGAAGGATGCGCCGATGGCGCCGGTATTGAGAATAGTATGGTTTGGGGCCCGAAGGAGTTGTAGTCGACAACTCTTGCGCAGTTGTTGTGGGATTGATGGTGGTGGTTGTGGTTGTGGTTGTGGTTGTGGTGGTGGTGGTGGTGGTGCTGGTGGTGGTGGTGGTGGTGGTGGGTGCTTCTGTTGTGGTGCTGGGTTCTTCCGTAGGTCCTGCGTAGTCGTAGTAGCCATGATGGCGACGATGGCCATGAATGCGACGGTAGTTGCGGATACGGCGATTCTGAAGGATGCGCCGATGGCCCCGGTATTGAGAATAGTATGGTTTGGGGACCGAAGAAGTTGTAGTCGACACCTCTGGCAAAGAGGTGGTAGTTGGTGGTGGTGGTGGTGGTGCTGGTGTCTCCGTGGTGGTGGTAGGTGCTGCTGTGGTAGGTGCTGCTGTGGTGGGCGCTGCAGTGGTGGGCGCTGATGTGGTAGGTGCTGCAGTGGTAGGTGCTGCTGTGGTGGGTGCTGCAGTGGAAGGTGCTGCCGTGGTAGGCGCTGCCGTGGTGGGTGCTGCAGTGGTGGGTCCGGCAGTGGTAGGTGCTGCAGTGGTCGGTGCTGCAGTGGTGGGCGCTGCTGTGGTAGGTGCTGCAGTGGTGGGCGCTGCAGTGGTCGGTGCTGCAGTGGTGGGCGCTGCGGTGGTGGGCGCTGCTGTGGTAGGTGCTGCCGTAGTGGGTGCTGCAGTGGTAGGTGCTGCAGTGGTGGGTGCTGCTGTGGTAGGTGCTGCTGTGGTAGGTGCTGCAGTGGTAGGCGCTGCTGTGGTGGGTCCGGCAGTGGTAGGTGCTGCAGTGGTCGGTGCTGCAGTGGTGGGCGCTGCTGTGGTAGGTGCTGCAGTGGTGGGCGCTGCAGTGGTCGGTGCTGCAGTGGTGGGCGCTGCGGTGGTGGGCGCTGCTGTGGTAGGTGCTGCCGTAGTGGGTGCTGCAGTGGTAGGTGCTGCAGTGGTGGGCGCTGCTGTGGTAGGTGCTGCAGTGGTCGGTGCTGCAGTGGTGGGCGCTGCTGTGGTAGGTGCTGCAGTGGTGGGCGCTGCTGTGGTGGGCGCTGCCGTGGTGGGCGTTGCGGTGGTGGGCGCTGCTGTGGTTGGCGCAGCTGTGGTGGGCGATGCAGTGGTGGGTGCCGCCGTGGTAGTTGTGGTGCCGGGATCAATGGTAGTATTGAAGCACTGCAGGGAAATGGCACCAGAACCTCCAAGTGTCGCCACTATTGTCTTCACACCACATACGTTGAGAGAGACAAAGTTGAACTCGTTGTTGCCCGTGACCAAAAAGTCTTGTTGGGCGAGCGAGGTACCGTTCTCCGCAAATGCCTCCACACCGCCGTTCTCCTCGGTGTCCACGAAGAGGAAGTCTTCCACACAGCTTGAATCATTGAATGTGATGGTAATCGTTCCTCCGCCCGAGTTGTCATCTACATTGGGTGGAGTCCCCCCCGTGACCTTGGTGCAGCCATCGCCCTCACAGCAACTAATACCGCAACCGCCGCCACAACTAGCCTGCTCCGAACATGCATTGGCTTCCTGAATCACAATGAGGAACTCCAGGTTTGGGTTGAGAAGGTCGTTGTCACAAGTGCAAACAGTATCCTCATCCAATCCACCGTCGAAGACCGGGCTTCATTGGTACTGCCAGAGCCACTGGCCGAGACACTCTCAATGCCAAAGACCCCAAACTGAGTTGTAAGTAGAGAACCGTGAGTGAGACCCACACTGGTCACGTCTTCACGAGTTATCGTGGGCTCGCAAAAGGGGAGTGGTAAAGTGGTGCTCGTGGTCGTGGGTCCTGCCGTGGTGGGCGCTGCAGTGGTGGGCGCTGCTGTGGTAGGTGCTGCAGTGGTGGGCGCTGCTGTGGTAGGTGCTGCAGTGGTAGGTGCTGCCGTGGTAGGCGCTGCAGTGGTGGGTGCTGCTGTGGTAGGTGGTGCAGTGGTGGGTGCTGCCGTGGTCGGTGCTGCAGTGGTGGGCGCTGCTGTGGTAGGTGCTGCAGTGGTGGGCGCTG